CAGCTGACTTGCTGGTAGCCCCCTGAGACCTGAGTGAGCACAGGAGCCCCGTTCCTGCCTTCCTGCTGATCCAAACGGAACAGATGGAGAGCAGCCGTGAACCCATGAGCAGACACAACCATATGCAGGAGAGGCTGTACTTTCCTGCACTGATGACAGCTTAGAACAACGGCACTTCTGACTTTGTTTGCTGGAGCTGTGAATAACTCAAAATCTTCTGGGAAAAGTAAGAGATCAGTGTGTGCTGATTAGCGTTGCCAAGCTCTCATCTCCTCTGCCTGAATGTTATTTGCAGGAAGTGAAAGCCAAAAGCCTCTTTGACATCACTCATATCTCAGAAATGGGAGGGCTCATAGCCATGCATTTTACACCAGAGCCACAAGTCACGCAGGTGCAACTGCAAACCAAAGTAAATGGCAAATGTGAACACTCATCCTGCCCCTCCTCTGGAGCCCACTCCAGCAGCAGCAATGGCCTTTGGAAGTTGGGCTATCATCTAGGATATCCCACTCCATGCACAAATCCATGAGCCATCCCTGAAGTACAAACACCTCCACTTCCATGTATGCCACAGTTTTCAAGGCCAAAATGGTCAGGCAACAACACAGGATGATTGAGCTTCATGGAAGGGAGCAGATGGAAATCCCAGGCTAGAGCAGTGACAAGTAGTAGGAAAGTGAAGGTTTTAAATGAATGTGTTAAAGCACTACATCCCCACCAGTGCAACATCAGTGAGAGAATTTAAGACAATTTGGCCATGCCCACACACAGCAGGACACAATGCCAAGTCAAGTCCCCTCTCTCCCACGCCATTGGTGATGAAGCTGGATGCAGGTGGAGGGTGGCAGGGTGGGAGGGGATCAGAGATGCACTTGCTCCTATGGCATATGACTGCCTTTTGGTCCCAAGAAAAACAGGAGGAGAAGGGAAGGGTGGAATCCCACAGCACATCCATCTCACATGCCATGGAGCAGAGGACACGACTGTAGCTCGGAGGACACACCCGTGCCAGGCCTGAGCCAATTAAGCTGTGTTAACCTGCAGAAAGAATATTCTGTGCCCTGCAGAAACCTTGGGGATGTCTGCCCATGCTCCTCCACACAAGGTTGGCATGCCCTCCAGAGCTCCAGCATGCTGAGACAGGGTATTTCAGCTTCGCAAACAAATACAGCAACAACAAATGGCATCAATTATTCACTAATGGAATTATGTCTAGTAAATCAAACAGAATCTATAATCTGAAAAATCTTCTGCTTAAAAAATGCAATGATTTTTTAATTGGTTTTATATTCCCTGCTATGATTATTCAAAGCACCATATACAAAGGGCTTGGGAAAAGAAGTGACTTAATCCGATTAAAAGGAAATCACCTGCCAGCTGGGAACCTCGCAGCTCCCTCCTCAATTTATTTGTATAACCTCCACCTGTAAAATACCCTTTCCAGGAGATTGCTAAAGCTGCAGTCCCCGCATTAGCTGTTTGTTCAGTTTACTTCTTAAAGGAAAAAGGATGGCCTGCAGTTTTCAAAAATAAATTCCTACTATTAAGAAATGCCTGTGAAACTTAAGTCAACATTACACTCACACAGATGCTTGAGGCAAACCGTTCTGTTCCCACCACAAACAGCAATTGTTACTCTGTAGACATGACAAATTTCTTCTGAAGCATCTGGAAGTTGCTGCCTGTAAAGAAGACTCTGACTAGCATAATTAAATTAGCTCACCCATTTTAATTATTTTGGCATCACATCTCAAGTGAGAAGCAGCCAAACAAATTTGTATTGCTGCGAGTTTCTCTGACATTTTTGCAGTGTTGCAGGGTATTCTAAAACCTATCTGCAGCCCTCACATGCATTCCTATTTGTCTTCTCCAAATGGGAAATACAGATACCTGAATCTATACCAAAGGGCAAGTAAAGGACATGAGACAAACCTTTCACTTCTGTTTTTCTCTTCCCTTCCATGAGGACTGTTTCTTCAACAAACTATAGTTCTGTGCTTGCAGCTGGAGCACCATTTCATCACCTTCTGTTTAGCATCTTAGATCCTCCACTCCTGACCTCTCTTTAATGACTCTTGCCTGCTGTCCAGCCCCTGTGTACTGTCTGCACTTGCTGTCTGGATTTCTGATGCTCAACTTTCCCCCCTTGGGTTTCCATTCCTTAACCCTGAAGGAGAACTTTCACACCAGCCTCAGAAGATGCCTTTCTAGCCAAACCTCTGTTCTCTTTAGGCAACTTCAGTAACACTGATAATGCCCTTCTGGACATTTTGCCCTCCTTTTTACTGCCTCATTTTTAGTGATACCTTGTCATTACCTGAAGACAACACCTCACCTTCTTATTGTTCCACCCAAGGTCCTCTTCAACTCAGCTCTCTTTACATTCTTCCTACCCCTTAAATAAGATATATTTTATTATGTGACACTGCATGCATGCCAGTCAGCTTCATAATTGCTCTGGTACTTGACACTAATCATAATTCTGGCCATTCATGCAATAATTCTACACATTGCTTAGAAAAATGCCAGTCTGCATAAGTCAGCAAAGACACCAATACCCCAATTTTGCTGGTTTATTGTCCTAGTAGCCCAAATCTGTCTTTATCATCAGTGTCAGCACCTTCCATGCACTGCTTCACACTGCTCTACATAACTGTCTGCACAATTTCCCTTCCCCTTTTGAGGATGCTCACCAGTGTAGACATCCCCATACCAAGAGCCAGCAAGACCCAAGACTACAACATCCAGCCAGAACACTGCTGCAGAGATCCTGTCCACAGGGCATCATCTGGCCCCTTCATCCACCCCCCCACACCTCAGCTCTAAGCTACAGCTAAAACAGTCATCCTGCTTTCAGACATTCTGCTGTTGACGCTGCAATGCAGCTGCCCACAAATAACCATTACATTAATTTCCCCTGTCCATTCTCCTTCATCAAGACACCAGTAAAAAAATAATAAAAAAAAGACTCTGACCCACAGCACCAGTGTGTTACAGCTACTGTCACCCTCTGGAGCAATAAGGTGTCATTGTTTCTTGGTGCATTTCCCTGCCTGCTCCATCCACTATCCCTGATCTTCCACTAAAACAATACAAACAGTTAAAGTTCAGAAGCCTCTGGGGTATCTGTCTCTTCACAACATAAAACATTTAGTGAAGCCCTAAGCAATCAAACAACAGTCCTTCATATCTAAAGATCTTTCAGAAAAGGAGTCAAATTATCAATTTTGCACCAAGTGCTGATATCACAGAAACAGAAAATTATTTCACACACAGTGTAATGGAAAAAGCAAAAAAAGAAATCAATAGTTTGCTCAATGCAGCAATCAGGATGAGTACTGAAGGTGAAAGCCAACTACATGACTATGTGCTTGCAGAAAAACTATAATTTTACTTTACATTTTTCCCCCTTCCTCTTATTCTCAACATATACCAACACAATCAAATGAAAAGATTAAGAACCACCTATTCACTGCTTATATTTAGTAAGAAGTAGTCTAGCAGGTTTTTAAAAAATATATAATTAAAGGTAAAATACCAGCTGAATGATGCTATGACCACCAGCACATTACAGATGTTTACTGATCAAGGAATTGCAAAGGCCCTTCCTTGCAGCCAGGTGCTGTTGCCTGGTATCAGTGAATAAAGGCTGTTCAATTATATTGATTGTGGATGTCACAAAGGGTTCCCATCCAGATCAGCAACAGCAGTTTTGGAAAACAGCAGAGTTTAGACCAAGTTCCACCACAGTCAAACCCCAATATCCATGACTGCTCTCACAGGGCAAACAGGGCTCTGGACACAATAATCACAATAAAAAAAACATAGACTAGTTCAGTTTAGCAACCTCCAATTACACTTTCCAGCCCAGTAGAAAGAATTCAGCCCAGCATCTGGCAATTCCCCAGAGCAACACTTCTTAACCTGGGGCATGACATCTAATTCTTTATAACCAATAACTTTTCTGTTCTCAAGAGATGGAGAAATTAAACTTAAAACTGACCAAACCAACCGAAATCAGTAATTTCTGTTTGCACCTGCAGTGCTGAGTGTTGGCTGAAGACACTGAGGACAGCAGTAAGTACTATGTAAGTATTACTCACACATGTAAGTTTATCTCACAAATAGTGCAGAAAAACAAGATAGCATGCAAGTTTAAAAGTACAAGTTTTACCCAGTGCCGGTTACCTGCCCACACACACCAGGCTGTAGCAAACCAACACCACTGTGCAAACTGCAGTGAACATACTTGTCTGCCCCAAATCCTCCCAAACTCACACCTTACTTGAGAAAGGCAAACACTCTGATGAAGTCACTCCCTTTGAGGGGGGAGAGCTGCATGGACAAGAAGTCACTTCAGGTTCAAGTACAGGTGAACTGTCTACCATTATCCAGATGAACTGGCTGCCCTGGAAGGAGATGCTCTAATGCCTCTTTGAAGTGTTCTGTTACTATTAGTAGCTTTCAAAAGTAGATGTAAACATAAACCAACTCCTACTCCCTCCCACTGCCAGAAGAATCAGAGATTATCTACTCAGGAAAGCTCTTCCCAGGTAACTATATATGACCATACATGTGGCCACCATGACTTTTTGGAACATGACTTTCCAATATACAAAAAAATCACCCAGATTTAGAGGTTACTACAAACCACATCCACAGCTAAGAAAATCCCTTAGAATGAGTAAAAGACTGGATGTTAAAACAAAGTCAAAGTCATTATTACCTTGGTGGGGTTTCAATCAGATCAACCTTTTTTTTTAACAATAGAAAACATAAGGACACTTTTGCATAGTTTAAAGTCACACCAACAGAACCTTGTAGTGAGAAAAATCATCCTGTAAACATCTGGTAAGCAAACCATACTGATTATGACTTCTTTTTTTGGCAGAAGAAAATAAGCATTATATATGCAAAACAAAAAGCAAGCCATCTAAAATGCTTGATTGCATTAGCACTAGGTCCAGATCCAAAAGTAAAAATAATTTTCTGTGACTTACCAGAATTTCTCTTTGACACGAGCTTCAAATTCATGCTGACTACAGTACAGATCACAAGAACCAAGAGAACAAGAGGCTTCATCTTTCACTTTCCGTGACAGCTGAAATGCAAACATAGTAGTAAGTCTGAATCACAGCTCTTCACTACAACAAAGCAGCAGCTACAGTTGAACATTTCTCAAAGAACCATTGCAGTGCTTAATCTAATGATTTCTGGGTTTATGTTTATGCAGAGGTAGGAAAACATAACAGTTCAAAGTAACTTTGTATGAACAATTTACCACTAACACACAAAAGGGTTGGTTTTTTTTATTAAATGACACCTCAAAAATATAATTTTGCTCTCAAAAAAAAAAATAATCACAAGATGTAACAGTTTACTTGAAACAGTATGGGTCTAATCTGGCAGATTTCTGTATGTTATTTAAGGGGTATCCTGATGGTCATAATTGTCTCATACAAACAGGCTAAACACTTTTAAAAAATCATGTTGTTCAGGAAAACATACAGAGTATGTTATTCATGCAGTCTCTCCTAATAACCTTATTTTCCTGCTGATGACCTTGTAAAAGCTCATAAACGAATCAATGCTATTCCACAAATTTCTCCTATAAAATAAGGTAAAAGAAAGTGAACAAAATTCAGAAATTAATGAATTTAGGTCTCAGGAGTCTCATTTAAAAGACAAAATTATTCTCTCCCATGAACTTTACTACTCATTTTATATTACATACCTTTAAAAATAAAATTTAAAAAAAGGCAAAATCTAGTTTAGAAATGTATTTTTATTTTTATATAATTATCAAAACTAATTTTGTGTTCATTTACAACTATGAGGTGATTCAAGATAAAATAGCAAGAGCACACTTAGGCACCTTCGCTGCATTTAAAAACAGGTAGATTGAATCTGAACTCAGCAAGGCCCATCTCTTTCTCACTCTCTCTCAAAGAGGAAGAGATGATTAATTATAAGCTCGAGTCCTCAAATATATGCTTAGCTTGAAGTCACAGGCCTTGAAGTGGCTCGTTATATTTAGACCCAAGTAATTCATCTCCATATCAGATACAGAGTTTTTATCAGGACCCTTATTCTCAGATAAAGAGGGCAGTCATCTGAAATTATTATTTGCACCAAAAGACTCAGCAAACATTTTACAGCAGTTTCATTTAAACAGAAATGCACAAAACGACCTGCATTAGTTGTCAAAAGCAAGGCAAATGAAACAGGATCATTCCTTAAACTCTGGACCACATCTGCCCACCCAGCCCACTCAGAGCTCCCAAACCCTCAACTTTGGGACCCACCCAGACCCCTGTCACCCAACAGGATATAGCAGAAAGAGGGGGCAATGTCCTGCAGTTCACTGCAGCTTATTCAGTTGAATATGAGTTTATTACAACAAATATCCTTCCCTTGTCAGTTTACAACCAGCCTACTGTTGTGTGAAGAAAATGTAAGGATATTTTACATGACAGGAATTATGTTCCTATTCAATTATTTCAGAATTACCACTTAGAACTCAAGTTCTCTTCCTCTCACCTTACTGCACCGCAAGCTATAAACAGGCAGTGGATTTTTTTTTCCTCCCTGAATTCTATGTTCCCGTGGGCACTTTATGCCTATTGATTCCTCACAGTAACTATGCTAAGGCGTTTTCAAGGAATAATATGTGCTGAAGGGTGTCTGACAGTGGTTAATGACAGAATTAGCATTCATTCTTCCCTAACCTCTCCTTGGAGTAACAAAATCCTGAAACAAGCGAGGCCATCCTGACAAGAGAGCTTAAAAAAAAGTAATTGAACTAAATCTTTTGACAGATAATTGTAATGATGTTATGCTAGAATGATTTTCAAGTGTAGCTTTGCAAATTACTTTCTCCACTTTCCTATCTTCAGTTATTACAGCTGAAGTATGGAACTCCTAGGTCCTTTTTCATGTGGGTCTTTCCATCTCTACCCCAAACAAGCTATGCTGCATTAAATACATTTAAAAATTCAAAGCAAGTTCTGCCAACCAATATTAATGTTAAGCAGAGAGGAAAATTCTTGGTTCTGCCAGCATTGATAGGAGTTCTGCTTTTTGAAGTCCTGGCCTCATTGAGGCAGTCAGTCTCTGTACCTCCAAAAAATCAGGAAAATTGAGTAGGAAAAGGGCAAGAAACTACAGCTCTACTTAGTCATTCATAATCAAGCCCAAAGCCTCAGCTTGTCACACCTGACACAACCCCACTAAAGCTCGCATGTGTCACCTTCACCATGCTAGACATTCCACCAGAAGAAGGTGGGGTGGGTCACCCCAATGGGACCCGTGAGTCAGCTGGTTACTGTCCCCAGGCAGCTACAAACAGGCTGTTTGACCTGCCCTCTCACAGATGACTACCAGTAAACATGCAAGTTAACAAAGAACATGAGGTACAATATAAGATCTATCCCCCCCCAGAGGAATGTCCCACAGCCAGAAGAGAGAAAGAAGGTTGTATGTGACCAGGACAAAGCTTCTAAATTTGCTCACAGGCACTGAGCAGCATCTCCCTGACAGATGCTTACTCTGACTCTGCAAACTCCAAGCAGCTGTGAGTAAGGGCTCACAGCTGTAACAAAAACACAGGACTCTGCTGGATACACCTCACAAGAGGGGAACAAGGTTCAGCACTATTCCCAGAAGAATGAAGAAGACATCTTACTTAATAATGATACAGAAATACCAATTACAGACAACTTGCCCAAAATCACTGAGAGGCACAGACTAAAGTGCTTGTTGAGGAGGCTGAAAGAATCACTAATCTAGGCCTTGTTGTGACCTGCCAGGTTGCATTTTTATCCAGATAAGTAAAGGGAGAGACACCATCAGAGGGAGAAGTGTAGGAGAAGCAAGGTGTGACAGCTTAATTCTCCATCATTCCACTGCCAACAAGGGCACCCCTTCCCTCCTCACACTGTTCGATGCTACAGACCACAGATTCAGGCAGCTGTCACAGCGACCTGTAAGCACCCAGCAACTACATGGGGACCAAGCTGAGATGCAGCACAAATTCAGTTCTTCTGATAGAAACCATCCTGACTCCCATATGCTGCCTAATGCCCTTCACCTCTGTTGACAAACTTAGTTCTTCCTTCTCAATCCTCAGAAAACAAGGCTTGGGAAATTGTGTCCCATTTTCTTCATGTACTGCCTGCTGTCCTTCCAGCACCCCCTTCAGCTCGTACAGCTTCTGGGACTCAAAAGAATTTCAAGTGACAAGGTTAGAAGGAGGCACTTAGAAACAAGAAGGAAACCGGAGCATTAGGATTCTGCACAAAACCCAGCACTGAGATTCCCAAGTTCATGCTTTAAATATAATTTAGCTTTGCTCTAATTTCTACCATGAGCTTTGTTTCTGCAGTGTTCCTTTTCAAAAGAAAACAAGAGAAGTGGTGCATGTGTGCACTCAGGCACACGTCTGTGCACAGGCTGAGATTTGCTGACACACCACGAGGCTCTGTAGGTTCTGGTTTCTCCACAGAAGCTGCGATGCAGAAGGCACTCATTAAAAACAGCAACCCACCTCTTTAGTGATTGCCAATTGTCAGGTTTTGTTGCTCAGAAATCTCACAGAAATAAATTACCATTTTCACCCCACACACAAAGGATGAAATGGCAACAGTAATTCTTTCACTGTCTGTACAGCATGCTAGATAGCGACTTCTGTTCGTTTCTTTGCAAACCATTTCCCCACTCTACTTTTTAAGGCTTTAAATTTTAATATGAACTCTCTCTCAGGTCTTCTCTTTTGCCAACACACCACACTAAGCTGTTTGTTACTAAAAGATTCTCAGGCTATATAATACGTTGGTTGGATGCAATCCCCAATGGACACCAGATCCTTTTTGTTGATCCCTCAAACACAAACAAAAAATACTTTGGATCAGAGATGCATGTTAGCTCAAATAATGTATCTTCAGCTCTGCTTGATATGGGTCATGCAGTGTTCTATGCTCTGCTGCTCAATGAGCATCAAAGAATATTTCATTTTGCCTAATTCACTGTGCATCTTCACCATCATAACCAGCCACTTAAGTTGTCTAAATACACAATGAACATTAATTCTACAAGGCAGTGTGCATTCAGCATTTATCTTGCTGGATCTAAGCCTCCATTTGGCTCAGGTCTTTAACTAGACTCACATATGGCTCATTCTCCTTGTCCAGCTGAAATTTTTAAGAGAAATTTAAAAATGAGGGAAGCATGGAGGGTACCTGTCAGTGCTCGTGTTGTGCAAACTGAAAGTAAACATCAACAATGAGACAACATCTGGGATTATTACTGGCTCAGCAGCGTATCAGCTGCATGACAGCATACAAGGAAGAAACAAGGTCTTGTCCTGAGGAAGCAAAGGGAACCACAACTAAATACACAAAGCACCTGACAAGGTTACAGTACTGACCTGTAATGATTCCTCTAAAGGCTGAACGTCTGGGTGCAAAAGAAAAGACAAAAATTGTAAAACTCACAGATCTTTTGGGATGTGATGGGAATCTTGTCAGTTATTTCAGAAGCAACAAACAGCAAGACCCCTTAGGTGTGAACACCGAGGTTTTGCTTGAAAGACTGCAATGCTTTCACTAAAAAGTTAAGTATCTTCTAAATGCCAGTCATAGAAGATACTAAGAACAGCACCTTAAAGTTTCAAAAAGCTTCTTATAGTGTAAAACAAAAACAAAAAAATGGGCTTCACTGCCAAGCACAAAAGAAAAATACTGTGAATGGCCACCACCCCAGAAATTCCCCTTTAACATGTCTGGCTGAAGAGGGTAGAAGTGATTTTAGTTGTGTTCAAGTGGCAATCAGACTCAACACTATGACCTAACTGCTGGCTGGCCCTGTAGAGAAAACCCTGGAAGCATTAACACAAGAACCTTTTCCATAAAGAACTTTCTGATCCAATAGCCACCTAAAATAGTGCTCATTTGTGGTAAAAGAAAAAAAAAAAAAAGTAGGAAATTGAAAAATCCCATGACATATTCCAAATACAGATAAAGATTCCAAGATCTGCAGGTTTAAAATGCTAACAAGATTGATGAGCATACGATGCATGCACTCATCTAAATCTCTACTAAGAAA